CACAAATTCTCCTAAATCACTCGTACGCACAACTTAACAACAAATCTGTGCGTACCAACGGTTCTTGCATGAGGCCCAATGCTAAAGTTTCTGAATTAACAGTAATTTGAGAATAACTTGTCTATAATTAACCTGGACTGGCCTTTATCTCATCTTTCTGACCAAGTCTTGTCATATGTCCCTTTAAAAAGACTTCACTTGAAAGTTTACACCTACAGTCTGGACACTTTTTACGCACGGCTGGGTCTCCACCCACCCTACCTACCCACCCCCTTTAGTCAGTGTGCAGAAAGTGATCCACCTGGACCCGGACTGGTTCCTGTAAAAGCCAGAGACCAAAGCTCCCAGCTATGCGGCCGCTTTGTCCGCGCTGTGATTCAGCATGGTGTGACTTCCAGCGCGCGCTATGAACGCCACATGGGGTTTGGTGACGGTCCTGAGTCTGCTGTGCCGGACCGAGTCGAGGTGCTCACAGACCACCTACTACAAAAACTGCTGGATCCGACGGTTCCCGGGGATTTTCATCAACATGGAGGAGTCTCAGAGGAGAGGCGCGCAGCTGCTCAGGTTTTACCAGGAGGAGAGCGCGCTGAAGTGCAGCCGCTCCTGCTGCCTCACGAGGAACTGTAGGTTTCTGTCCGTCTCCTGCCCTCCTCTGGCTGTGTTTTAATCTGACTCTTTGTCTTCTCTGCTTCAGTCTCCTGTAATCTGGCGGTGTTTCATCACGACACCAGCCAGGAGAACTGCCTCCACCTGCACTGTCCCACACTGGAGAGCTGCATCCTGACGCACAGAAGCAACGTTGTTCTCTACAACATCACAAACGGTGAGTCACCTCAGGGTTCTTCTTTTATTATCCTTTACCTGATTCAATGATGAGCTCTACCAACCTCAGCACACCTGAGAACAAAGAAGGATTTCTGCTCAAGTTACAATATCCTTGTGCTTATAATTACCTCCGCCAAGGGCGAGGTAATGTTTTCAGTCACGTCTGTCTGTCTGTCTGTCTGTCTGTCTG